AGTCATATTAGTCTATCCACAACGCATATGCACTTTACTTCTGTAATTATTCTGCCTTCAGAGCCTATACACTATTATCTTGACATGAATTTCAAGTTTGGCTAACTGATTTTCTCTGTGATGGTGGGTCAGTTCATGTTAGTGTCTGTTAGAGGTACTTATACTGATATAGGTCCACAAAGCAAGGTGGTAGCCTGGAACTATATAACTGCATTTATGTATACATATATGTTGCTATGTGTAATTCTAGTGAAACAACATAGAATGAAAGCAGGTCTTGAATCGTATTGTTTTGTTTAAAATTGGTCTGAATTTTTTTTTTCTAATCACTATAATGATAGTGAACAAGGTGATGATATGTTGTCATGTGTGTATATGTGTGTATGAATATGTATCACATGCATATGTAATGTACAAAAACATATGTATATACTTACCTAGATAGATAGATGTCTCTGTGTGTGTATATATATACACACATACAGTTTTCTTCCAGTATGAGCAACAGAACATATCTGTTTGGTATGATTATTTAGTAGTCTTATTTTTGGGTCTAGGATTATGAAAAATATATAGTAACAAATGGGTGTCAATCTTTGAACATTTGTCATATAATGCAATAGTATATAACCCTGTGTGGCCTAATCTTGTAACAAATAATTTAACATGGTACTAGTTTGTTTGTTTCTTAGTTATATAAGCCAGAGTAGATATTTCTGGTTGGGGCAGCTGTCCTTGAGAGTGACTCAAGGATCCAAACTTCTTCCTGCTGTAGGCTGTGTAATCCACTAAAGTCTTGGAATCCTTGCCAGATCTCCTGCATCTAGCCAGCATATGAGGGCATATAGAACAGAGGAGATTTCAGAAGTGTTTTAAGGCAAGACTGGAAATGGTATATGTTACTTTGGAACAAAATTCAGACATAGGTCACACCTATTGTAAGGAAAACTGGGAAATGTAGCCTAGTTATGTACCTGGGAGGAAAAGAACATGATTTGGTAACCAATTAGTTAAACCTGCCACAAGCACTGTTTTTGAGGTTCATGATGATTACAAGTAACAGCTAAAAAAGATTAAATTATATTTAATATTTATTATTTAAGATAGATATCATAGGGGAACCTTATTGCACAAAAAAAAATAGCCTTTCCTTTTTCATTTTCTTTTTCCTCAAGATCAAATCTATGTCATTAATTAATAAACTGAAAACTTCTTGCTATATCTGCTGAAGTACACAATGCATGTAAAGATGCCAATTATTCTTTTGTTGAATTGGGAAAATGTAAAAATAGACAGTATTCCTTTTTCCGTCCACAGAGAGCACTAAATTATTAGTTGATAGTTCATGAGAGATATGTGACTTAAAGGGATAAAAACTAAATACTAATGGCTGTGGAAGTAATTCTGTAAGGAGGAATTATTAGTATAATTCTAAGATTTTGTGTTTGTTTTTCTTCAACAGAGTGACCAGTAAAACACTGGTAGTTTGTCATATCAGGTAGATTCCTTAAAAATAAAATGAATTGTCCTACACTAGAGCTTAACTAGACTTCATTTTTAAAGAGATCATTGTTCCTATCGCTTTTCCCATATGCACCCTTGAGAGAGCAGGAAAAGAGGGGGTGCACTGGCTAATGTGTGGCTTTAGAAAATCAAGACATATAGAATTATTTCCTGGAAATGTAGGAACAGTTAAGAATGAGGGGGATTAATGTTTCTGTGACCTTTGGGTAAATACCTGGGAGTGGAATTGCTGGATCATATGGAAGCTCCATCTTTAGCAGGTTGAGGAATCTCCACACAGTTTTCCATAGTGGTTGGACCAGTCACTCATAGCTGAAATTTAGAAAACCTAAATAAGGGACCAGGAAAAAGACTAATTATAATGAAGTTAAAATCAAAATCATCACGCAACTATAAACCGGAGACACACTACAGGGGGAAGAGGAGGAAGTAGGATCAAAACAAGGAGTGGTGGGAATTGTATGGGGACTATAACCAAGATGAAAATGCATACATTGTGCAACAATGAAAAATGATGTAAAAAATATTTAAAATTTTAAAAATTTAAAAAGAAAAAAAAAGAATGAGGGGGATGTATGAATAAAGGGAATTACAGATCCCAAGAGGATCGATTTGGGGAGCTCTGAAAGTTCTGAACCAAGTGCCCAAATAAGAAGGAAGGAAAGAATTTTGCCGTTGTGTAGAAGTGAAGTTTAAATGTGTTAGGCACATAAATTGAGTGGAAAACAGATCAGGATGCTTCTCACAGCTGGCTTTTGCTTTTCGTTTTTAAATACGGTAAAACTTGGAAAAATATAGATAACACAATTTAATCAGTGTGTATAGTTGGGTGTTCTTCATGGACCATCAATGTTTGGATATGTAAAGATATAAATAACTTACATTTTTCATAGGTTTTATATTTCTACTTCAGTAAAATTGATTATACTACTATTATAAAACATTTTCAAATATTTAGTGTTCAACTTAAAATGCCCTATTTAGTGTTATCTTTACAGTGGTGCCAAATAATATAACCTTTGTTGAGTTACATAATGTCTGCTTTCTAAAAAATTTTCAGCGTAACTTCTCTTTGAGCCTTTTCTATTTTCTTTCAGTTTCTTTCCCTGAGACCTACTAACTTTTTAAGTCCAATCTAAGTTTACATACATTCTTAATATTATGATTAAAATTAAATGTTATTATATTCAAAATAGAGATTTTTTAATATTTTATTTTATATAATTACATCATTTTTCATCTTTGTACAATGTATGAATTTTCATTCAAAATAGAGATTTTAACACATTTTATAAGAAGATATTTATTATGGAAATAATATAATTTTTTTGTTTTCAGATAATAGTTCCTATTTAGTTTTCAGAAAGCTATTTTGTTCTACAGCATTTAAAATATTTTTTAAAATAAGAACAAAATGCAAATCATTATTTTAAATAGTTATATAATTTGAATAAAACTAAAATTCAATTATTTAAATCTCAGATCTAAATTTAAAAAAACTATGGATAGTTCTAGCATTCAATAACTATCTTGTTGGCAAATAACATCAGGATTCATGTATATTATATGAAGAACCACGTATATACAAACTTTGAGAGTAATATGAATGATTCAGTATTCAGAATACTTCCCAATTATGTGCATATTTTTTGTGTACTGCGTTGATTTATGAGTGCCTTCAAAAGCATGCATCATAACCAGAGAAAGAACAGGTGGTATCAGTACTTGAAAATATGTGTTAGGCAATAATCTATTGCATTTATGCTATCCAAAGATCCTTTTGAGGATCTTAATTAGTACGCCTTTTCTTATCTAAATGCTTCCATATCTCAAATTCCTTCCCATACTCCAAAGCACTATTTTTATTGTTAGCAATGGCAATTTGCAAACCTAGGTAGCCTTTGAATAAAGTTACTTTTCATTCTTGAATATAGAACAAAAATTAGTCCAAGGTGTTTCTGTGGTTTAGAAAGTGCTCACCATTAGAGCAGGTGGTGTGTGGCAGAGGAGCAAATGTTGAGCATCCTGGTTTGCTCTTTGCCATCTCCAAGTGTGAGATCCCAAGTGATGGAGGATCCCACAAGGTATTTAGTGTTTCGAGTTTGTGTCTGCGATTAGTAGAATTTACTAAATGTGTGGGTCCCAGGGCAAGGGTCTGCCTTTATCTGGTTTTCAGGGTAGTATTATATTAAATTCCTACCTATAAGCTTATGAAATAAGTGTTTCTTCTCAAGGAGGAAATAATATATGAAGGGAGAAGGATGGGTGGACATCTGATATTGAAAGGGAAAAAGTGAAATGAATTTGACAGAGCTGAAGCAAAATATCACTAGTTCATAATTCTGTTTGGGAGTTTGCTCTAGAAGTCTATTTATTCCTCATTTTTCTGTGTGCATTGTGTATCCTCGCTCACTATTGTTCCCTATTTCCCTTGGTTCTATAAATTCTTTTGATTCAATCATTGTTTAGATAATTGAAAATGTTAATTTGGGGTTGTATTTCCTCTTGTGTTTATCACTGGGATTTAAGTTCCTCTATAGTTCAGTTTTGGAAAGCAGGGATGCCCTCAAATTGTTTATAACAATCCAATAGCTTCATTTATTATTTTCAGTCTGGAATATAAAGTATAGTTGACTCTATTGTGACTCAAACCCTTAGCTTAAGGAAGACTCACACACGTCAACCAAAACATCTGAGAGGGTACTTTTAACCAGAATATAGCTAGGGATATTTCACGTTTAGTTGACTGTATTTGCCGTCAAAATTGGCCAGTATGCTAATGTTGGGGGAGTAGGGAGCAGGAAAAAACATATTTAGCTACAACATTATTTGTCTCTATTTCCCAGTACTATGTACCTGGATAAGAATAAAAGTTTTAAGATGAGCTTTTTGAACAAGAGAGAAAAGTGCCACATTTTAGGAATTCTGCTAAATAAATGTCAAAAAGACTGAGAATGCAAAATATTTTAGTTGAAGTTGAAAGGTAAAGAAGAACTCACCTGGCTCAGAAGTTAGATGTATTCCTCTCCTTTTCAACTATCTGCAAGGGTTAAAATCAGGCTAGAAATATAATCTAGTCATTCTCATTGCCAATGTTAACCAGGGATAAAGTCCCTTACTTTGATTCTTATTTAATCAGGTATAGTTTGAATTCTTTCTGGCACTTTGTATCAGGCTAAAAATTATGAAAATATGAACACTTACTGATAAGTAAGTCAAATTTTATTAATTGTGTTAGAATTCTCACTTGTTTAGACAGGCACATTAGAACATTCATGTTATTTTACATTCTAATTCAGCTCCTCTGTGTAATGATCAGGAATGATCTTGCTTTTTGTAAAACTTCAGGTCTGTCTGTAGCAATTTCTTTTGCCTTTACCTCAAATACACTAGCATTATTAATAAAAGTAGATTAGAATATAGCAGCTTTGTTGGCAAACCAAACTTTATTAAATGTTTGATTTTATCTGTTATAGAACATGAAAAGCAGCGGTTATGCAAGAGCACCGATTATATGAATTTGCATTTCAAAGTGAAATGGTTTTATAATGAATATGTGCGAGAACTTCCTGCCTTCAAGGATGCAGTTCCTGAATATTCATTGTAAGTAGTGATTTTCACTCCCAAGTTTGTTCTCAATTCATAATCCTATAAAATTACACCTGATTATGCAGCCTTAAAATCTCTTCACATAGTCTTTGTTTGAATGCATACATTTCTAATATAAAATATATATTAAGTGATTTACATGTCTTTGGGAACCATATTTAATTGATTTGTGTTGTATCTTTCAAAAATGCCTTAATTGATATTCAACTCAGAGAGAAAGAAATGACAGGACATACACGATGTGGCTCTTTCTTGTGAAAGTTCTCATACTCAGATTTTTGTTGGGAATGTGAGAGTGCTTGTATATTGATTTACACAATCAGATTTTCCTTTAATTGAAATTTAAAAATAAGTAAAACGTGAAATAAGTAAACTTAAAAATGAGTAAAAGGTAATATGGTAAAAATGGTTTTGAACTAGTTTATTACAAAGAAATGCTGTGAAGCTTGTATTGCATTCATTAGACATTGTGGGCATTGAAACAGACAGGGAAGAGAGTTTGAAGGCAGTGAGTAGTATAATGATTTTAGGAGAGCCCTTTAATACAACTAATTGAACCCTTTAATACAACTAACTTCTAATTGAAGTTCATTGAATAGAATGGGACACAGGAACAAATTAAAAGGCTATTATAATAATGCTGTAGTGAGAATGTAAAGAATGAAGATGTGTGAGAAGGAAATTTTGAACATAGAAATTTTCAACTAAATATAAGGATAAAGGAAAAAGGGAAGAATTAACCATAATGAATCTGAGCAGTTGGTAGTGCCATTGATTGGGAAAAGAGAAGTTAAAAAGGGAAATACTGCCAGAGACTTATGTTTCTGGTTCTGTATAGACAAATTAAAATCAGACTAACATAGCCACTGAAGACCAATTACAAAAACTATTTGAGTAAAATTAAACAGCATCAGAGAACAAACAAGGCAATCAGAATTTGAGAAACTAAGATCCCTGGGAAAAGAAAAATACATGGAGATGAAACCTTATTTGCTGCAGTTGCTTCCCCAACCTTCTAACCTCTTTGCATTTACCGATTTCCAACATGGTCATGGTGACCACATGGAGAGCAGTAGCCTAGAACACATAGTGATTCCTCTGACCTGTAGATACTAGATCGGTGTTCAGGGCTACAAAGGATGCTGGAACTTGTGGAACCAAGAGCCTAGAGAAAAGGGAACTGCACAGACATGAGCACAACCTGCGTGAAGTTTTTCCTTAAGGTATTTCCTGATCTGCTATGTGTGGAGATTGAGGCAGGAAAAAAGCTAGTAGAGAGCATGAAGACATTAAAAACTAAGCAAAGACTTCAGGAATCTCACAACACTGGTGAGAAAAAAAGACAGAGGACAATGATTATTAAGAAAGAAGAGCACTATAAATACCCCAGGTTTTCACGTGAGATCCCTGAAGGGCTCAATCATAGACTAAGGGAAAACTGGAAATAACCCAACCTAAAACCCAGCTCACCTAGATATGATTATCTCTGAATTCAGTCTGCCAGGAGAAATTTAGATCCTCTTTGGAGGAAATGACCAATCAAATGTTCATGGACAATGTATAATACTATGCAGCAACAGAAAAACAAAAACAAACAAACAAACAAACAAAAACTCTACTACTAGGCAACAGTACCAAATGATTAGAATCCAACAAAGAAAAATCTTATTAGATAGGGACTTTGATGTTTACCTTAAAATGTGAGAGAATTCACAGAAAATGGAATCTATACAATAAAATTAGGAGTGTAACAGATGGGTTTAGTAGCATATTATTCATATCGGAAGAATTCAAATTATTGGAATATTGGCTTGAGAAAATATCCATATAGAAACAGAGAGAGAAAAAAATTGGATGGGGAAATAAAATAAAATAAGGGATATATGGTACAAGTATAAAGGTCCAATTACAAATTGCATCAATGAAAGAAAGAATAGTACAGAACAAAATTTTAAAAGATACTAGTGTCTATGGCCATGAAAAGATACTAGGTATGAATTTTGTAAACTGATGAAAAACATGTGGCCATAGTTGAAGAATTTCTATAAATCCTAAGCTGAATAAATGCCAGGAAAAATACAATTAGACACATCATAGAAAAAGGAGAAAATCTTAAAATGTATTTGAGTCAAGGAAGGGATGACATTTAACCTTTAGTACTACTTATTGGTGACTGTTCAATATAAATGAAACAAGAATACAATGTAATGACATCTTTTAAGTGCTGAAAGAAAACAAGAACTTAGAATTTTAAAAGCCATCAAAACTATCCTTCAAAAATGAAGCAATAGAACCATTTACATAACTGAAAAGCTGAATGATTCCATTTCCAGTAGACCATTACCAAGAGTATACTATAAGCTATACTTCAGATAAAGGAAAATGACCACTGTAGATAAAATTCTATATATTAGTAATGCAGGAAGAAACAGAAAATATTAGTATATTTTAAAATACATAATTTGTTTACTTTTTCTAACTTCAAAATAATTTCAATAGAATAAAATATATATAAAATACTAGATAACAGTTATATGAAGAACACAAGAGTCATAAGGACAATTAACAAGCTATAAGGTCCTTGAATTATTTGAAAAGTTTAAAGTACTCATTTTTAAAAGTGTCTAATATATCACAGATGTGTGTGATGATTTATAATACAACCTCTTAAGGTTCCTAATACAAAGCTATGCATAAATAAAATAATGAAGAATATTAAAGTAAATAACATTTAAAATCAACAAAGGTAAATAAGGACCTCCCTGGTGGTACAAGGGGTTATGACACAACCTATGAAGCTGTCAGCAGCCACTGCAGCATGAGTTCAATCCCTGGCCAGGGAGCAACCCACATGGCACAGCAGACCTCTCCTGACTCACCAGCTGCTCCCCTCAGCAGTGTACTTAAGTCAGTCTGCCTGTTCTGTTCCCCACTCTGTATCTGGTGAATCCGCTCACCTCCCACACCTCTGGCCTGTACCCCAGCTCTTGTGTGCATAAAGAAATAAATATTAGGAAGGAAGGGAGGAAGGGAGGGAGGAAGGGAGAGGAGGGAGGGAGAAGGGAGGGAAAAAGCAGCAGAAAACTTAGAGGAAAATGTGATAGATTTATAATTAAATATATAAAATAAAATATATCAGAAAATTAAATGTAATCATTAAATGTAAATCAGTTTTCTCCTTTTTCTATATGAGGCCACTTAAATATTATACTAGATAAAATGATAAAACCAAAAATATCTTAAAATTTATTCATCAATAACATAAGGGCCCAGAAAAGTTAAGTGAAAACAGTAAAACAAGAAAGCATATTTAGCTATACTAATACTAAACAGCACAGACTTTAAGAAATATTTTGAGAAAAAAAATCATGATTAAATGAGCAATTCAATAAAAAGATGTATCAGTTCTAAATTTGTATGTATATTACATCAGGAAACTATATGAAGCTAAAACTTAGAAATTTTTGAAAATTCAACATATCTACAAATCTACTTGTAAATTAGTTCTTTCAGCAACTATCTGAAGACAAAAAATGTAAGAAGTTTCAGCAACAGGAATAATATTTAGAGATATCTATTTACCCATCTATATCTATATCTAATTAGGTTTCATGATATTTCGTAAACATTCTTCATACAAACACGCGCACAATCTATATACAATTTATAATCAATAATGACAAAATAATGTTGCTAGCAGATGCACATGGTGCATTTTCCAAAAAGGATTATCTGCTAGACCATAAAACATGTCTAATGAATTCTGAAATGTTGAAACATATCCAGTATATTTTCAGGCCTCTAAAGAAGCTAGAAGTCAACTCCAAGAAGGTAACTAGAAAATAACCATGCAGAAATTAAGCTGAATAATTTAAATAACTCGAGTAAAAAAGAAATCATCAGTGGACTATAGTGCAGGACTGTGGGTGTCTTTGTACTATGTGGTGAGACCATGATCCTTTACTGATGAATCACATACAATGTTGTAAACCAATGTTACCTTGAAAAAATATATATTAAAAAGAAATCAGTGTAAATTACAAAATATTGTATAATGAATCTTCTAGATTACAATTAAAACAGGAAATAGAAAATTATAGCTCTAATTCTATAGGGAAGGGAAGTTATGAAATCAATAATATAAGTGTCAGAGGCAATTTTTAAAAAGCAAAATAAATCAAAAGAAAGTAAAAGTAAGAAAATCAGTATGGCCTGGGGTATAGATAAAATAGAAAAGTTAAAATAGGAGAAATTACGGCCAGAAGTTGGTCTTTAAGAAAACTAGTAATATCAAAAAAGCTTTTGCAATGTCAAAAACAAACAAACAAAAGAGGTAACACAAATTATTATAAGGACTTTAGTAAAGATTTTACAAATATTAATAACAAGTGAATATTTACACTAGTGCATTTAGATAACTAGACAAAATGTTTAAAATGCACCTAAAAAATAGAATGTCCTTTAAAAATAGAATTTAACAAGAAAATATATAAAATCTGAATGACCCACAACTATTTTTATGTTTTTAAGATTTATTATTTATTTATTTGTTTATTTATTTATTTAAATAACTGGGGTGTAGGTCAGAGGTTGGGGGCCAGAAACGGTGGATCCACTGAAATACACTGCTGAGGGGAGCAGCGGTTGAGATAGGAAAGGTCTGCTGCACCATGTGGGCTAGCTTTTTGGCCAGGGATCGAACTCAGGTTGTGGTGTGATAGCACTGAGACCTACTCCCTAGGCCACCAGGGAGGCCCAGATGCTAAAAGTGGAATTTTTCCAACTATGTAAGGAAGAATATCACCAATTTTATATAAGCTGTTCAAGAGAAGGAACGACTACTTCGTTTATTTTATTTTTTTTTTTTAAGATTTATTTATACAAGCACTGGGTATAGTCAGAAGCGCGGGAGGGTGAGAGAATTCACCAGAGCCAGAGCGGGGAGCAGAGCAGGCAGAAGGACCGAAGTACACTGCTGAGGGGAGTAGCGGGCAGCAGGAGAGGTCTGCGCGCCATGCGGGACGCCTCCTCCAGTGGCCGGGGAGCATCTGGGGGTCGAACCGGCACTGCAGAGGCTGCAGGCAGACTCACAACCCAGCGCTCAGCCGCTGCGCTACCGGGGAGGCCCTACTCCGTTTATTTTTTAATAAGTTCTTACTACTATAACCTATTGAAAATATGACAACTAAAAATAATTACAGGCCAAATTCTCTCATGAGTATAGTAAAATAAAAATAAAAACTTCAAATGAAAATTTAACTACTTGAATTCAGTGGTTTTTATAAAGACTGGTATAATGTGACAAGTTGTATTTATTTTCAGCATGAGTTAGTGAAACATTTTGAAAGCAAAGAATGCAATTCACTACAGTTAAAGGAAAAAAGCCCTACAACATAGAATAAAAATTTAAAAAAAAATGCAACATCAACTAAAAAAAATCAGCAAATTCAGAATAGAAGGGAACTACTTTAATGTAATAGAAGATTCCCCCTTTTTATTACTCAAATTTGTTTCCATTTAAGATTCCCCTTTAAAAAAATAATCAAAAATGCTTTATGATAAAATGTTGAAAGCTTCCCCTGAGATCAAGAATGAGCTTGAGAGCTGATATAACCACTTTTATTTAAATTTTGCTAGAAGTCCTAGGCTGTGCAATAAAACAGGAAAAAGGAGAGAAAAGTATAATAATTGTAAAAGCATATAATGATACTATTGCATTTGTAGATGAAATAATTATGCATCAAGAAATACAAAAGATTTCAAAAAGTGCTATAATAAAACTAATTGAATTTAAAAAGTGAATGCAGTAAATTGATGTGAAAGTTCACTGAATTTTATATAATAGCCAAAATTAGAAAATTACATATAAATTATACCATTTAAATAGCATAGCATTAAAACCATGAGAAACAAATGTGATGAAAGATGTGCAAGCCTTTCTATTCAGACAATTATAAAAATTCTGAGAACTTTAAGATGAACTAAATAAAATACACAGTGTTTCTTAAAAGATGCATTATTATGATAGTTCATGATAATAATAATCTAATGATAGTTCTCCCCACATTGACTTACAGATTCAATGCACTCTCATAAAAATTCCAGCAGGTGTTTTTGTGCAAATTACAAATATATATATAGATATGCAAAGAATTAAAAATAGCCAAGGCAATCTTGAAAAGGAAAAGGCTGGAGAACTTTTGTGTTTGGTCAATTATCAAAATTTATTCAAATATTACATTATTAAAAGAATGTGGTGACAGACTGAGTGAACACAAAATAGCCCAGAGGCAAGCCCACACATAATGTTGTTACCTGAATGCGTCATGAAGACACTTAAATGCAGTGGGGGAATGGATGGTATTGTAAATAAATGGTGCTGGGCAATTGCACATCTGTATGGAGAAAAGAACTTGAAACTTAGATCATTAATAAAACCCAATAGTAGGCAGAATGTAGTTCATATTAAGTCAAAGGTGATCACCCAGAACCAGTTACAAAAGAATAGACTGGGTGGAAGCTCACAGTCAGTAAAGTGGACCATGGTATGATATACACAGCACAAAAGGTCTACATTTTATAGGATTTTGAATTGTAAATGGAATAGGAAGTAGAAACTATGAATATTTAAAACATCGTGAAAGAATCAAAGGGAGGTGAGAGGGAGATATATATTTAAATTAATTTATATATATTTTACATCATTGTTCATTTTTTTAAAGATTTATTTATTTTTATATACAAGAGTTGGGGGGTACAGGCCAGAGGTGCAGGGGGCTGAGAGGAGTCACCAGAGACAGAGTGGAGAACAGAACAGGCAGACTGACTGAAATACACTGCTGAGGGGAGCAGCGGGCGAGTCAGGAGAGGTCTGCTGCACATGTGGGTTGCTCCCCTGGCAGCGGGGATTGAACTCGTACTGCAGAGGCTGCGGATTGCTTCATAGTGCGGTGCTTAACCCCTTGCGCCACCAGGGAGGCCCTCACTGTTCATTTTTAAGCAATGTTTACCCCCACACACACACCCCAGGTGTAGTCCCCGTAGAATTTCCTCCACCAATTCAACCGTGCACCATCACCACAGTCTCCTGTGCTTCTCCCTCCCTCTCCCTATCTCTGGTTTATAATTGTCTGCTTGTTTGTGTTTTGTTGTTTTGTGTTTTGTATTGTTACTATTTTTTTCCCTTGATGTGAAGCTAAAGGTCTCTGAGAAAACTGGAAAAAGGGAGTGAAAAGAGATTTTTGGTCCTGAAATACTGTCAAATAAGAAAAAAGTAGTGTTCATGTACAAATGACATATTTTATATTATGTATCATTATTAAAAATTTTAGGTGGTTTGAACCCTTTGTCATACAGTGGCTAGATGAAAATGAAGATGTGTCGATGGAATTCCTTCATGGAGCACTAGGAAGAGACAAAAAAGATGGAGTAAGTTTAAATTACTTTAGTATTGCTTACTGTCAACTGGCATTCATGCTGCTTTTATTTTTCTTTGAGTGAACTAACATTGCATCATATTACATAGCTTCAGGTGTTCATCATTGAGAATGAACATTCTACATTAGAATTCACCACTAAACATCCATTCTGTCCTTCGCCATACCATTGTCCCCTCTTTCCCTTTTTACCCACCATCTTCCCCCTTCCTTTCTGGAATCTACTAATTGGTCTTAATATTCCTAAAGTTTGTTTTTTATTACTTTCATCTGTTTTCTCTGTATACCACATAGGAATGAAATCATATAGCATTTGCCTTTGTCTGTGAGGCTTATTTTACTAAGCATAATTCCCTGTAGGTCCATTCATGTTGCATATGGCAGGATTTCATCTTTTTTATAGCTTAATAGTATTCCATTGTGCATTTTTCCTACATCTTTATCCATTCATTAATCATTAGGCCCTGGGTTGTTTCCAGTTCCTGCTATTGTAAACAGCTCTGCAGTGAACATGGGAGCTCACTTAACTCTGAGTTTTTGTTCTCATATTTGTCGTGTAAATATACATCTGTGTGGTAAGTGGATCAGATTGAATAGAATTGCTATTTTTACTTTTTTTGAGGAATCGCCACCCTGCTTTCTATAATGACTGCATTCTCAACTCACACTGCTCACTTTATGCTAAATAGGAATGATTAGGCTTTTGTTATTAAGCCTTGTTTTAATTATCTGATGACTAAATAAATTGAACGCTATTTTACTTTTTAAGATTCTTTATTGAAGTAACATTACAACATTACATAGGTTTCAGGTATGCATCATTGTAAATCAGTATATGTATATAATACATTTTTTTATTTCCTCAAATTGGTATTTATTTATTTATTTATTTATTTTTTGATGTATAGTCTTTTATTCTTTGTTCATAAATTTTAATTTTATCAACATAAGAAAACCAAAAACCCTTTGAAAGATTCTGCATTCATAATACAATTCAGTAGTCTTAACTTTTATCATTTTAAATGAATATTTAAATGTATATTTTTTTTTAAATATTAAATTTTATTTTTATATTCCCCCATACAATTGCAAACACCCCATTCTGACCCCAATCCTTCCCCTCCCGCCCCCCACCCCCCAAAAAGTGTCTCTGGTTCATAGTTTTTGTTGATTTTGATTTTCACTTTCTTATATTCATTTTCCTGGTCCCTTATTTAAGTTTTCTAGATTCCTGCTATGAGTGAGACCATCCGGTATTTTTCTTTTTCTTTTTGGCTTATTTCGCTGAGCATGATCCCTTCCAGTGCCATCCATGTTGCTGCAAATTGCATGTGTTTATCTTTTTTGAATGCTGAGTAATATTCCATGGTATATATGTACCACATCTTCTTGATCCAGTCATCTATTTTGGGCATTTGGGTTGTTTCCAAAGCTTAGCTATTGTAAACAGTGCTGCTATAAACATAGGAGTGCAGGTGCTCTTTGGAATTGATGTTTCTGTGTCCTTTGGGTAAATACCTAGGAGTGGAATTGCTGGATCATATGGAAGCTCTATGTTTAGTAGGTCCAGAAATCTCCACACAGCTCTCCATAGTGGTTGGACCAGTTTGCACTCCCACCAACAGTGCACAAGAGTTCCTTTTTCTCCACATCCTCGCCAACATTTGTTGTTGCTAGTTTTTTTAATATGTGCCATTCTCACTGGTGTGAGATGGTATCTCATGGTAGTTTTGATTTGCATTTCCCTGATTACAAGTGATGTTGAACATTTTTTCATATGTCTGTTGGCCATTTGCATTTCCTCTTCAGAGAAGTTTCTTTTTAGCTCTTCTGCCCATTTTTTGACTGGATATATAATACATTTTTGATAGACTGGTAAGAACCCTACAGAATTATTTAAAACAAACAAAATAAATCAATTAGCTTTTTACTTAATTCTAAACTCCTGAATTGGTCTAATTCTACAACACAGTAAATTCATACCAAAATCCCTGTGATCCTGGAGCCTTTCTGGTGTACCTAGATTAGGAGTAGATGCACACACCCTTCCAATGTCTCTGGAGAAACTCAGAAGCCTTGAGCCACAATCAAGTTACTGATCTATCCTAATGCCTGTGGAGAATGAGAAATATGAAAAAGTTAACCCCTCTACTCAGCAAAGAAACAATTAACAGCGGCCTGCCCCGTGAGATTAGTTGTACATGTTCCTGTAGAGGTCATTAATTTAATGAGGGTAAACACTTTTTTTTTTTTTTTTAACCAGGAAATAGAGGAATATGATACGGGAGAATCACTTGTTTGTGTGAAATAATGAAGAAACATTCCATGGTCTGTCCAGCATGTTTATTGGGATGAATTTCTTCTTTTCTTCCCTCAGTTCCAGCAGACATCTGATCATGCCCTATTCTCCTGTTCTGTGGTTGATGTCTTCGCCCAGCTTAATCAGAGCTTTGAGATTATTAAGAAACTGGAATGCCCTAATCCTGAGGCATTATCTCACCTAATGAGAAGATTTGCAAAGGTAAGTTAAATGGAATGAGCCCTTGGCTGGGACTTACTGTTTTCCTTCACAGAATCTGGAAATGCTAGTTTTTCTAATGCCAGTAACCCAATTTAATTTAAAAATTTAGCACTAATCGATGGACTTATTTTAGTTTACTATTCTGACTTCTTTAACAATTTTTCTGTTCCTTAAATATGGATTATCTTAAAACACCATTTGTTATTCATATTAATTACTCAGTAATTGGTAATGGAGGAGACTATCATGGCCAAATTATTTCCCTCTCAAATGTACTTTCTAGCTGAAAACAAGCCTTGGCATTTCATATTTAAATTTTAAGTATATTTTTAGCAGGCAATGTATTACAAGGAAACGTAAATTGAGTTTTGGGTCACGAAAACTGAGTGCTGATTTCAAGTCAACAAATAACTGTAGTGTGAGTTTTAGTAGTCCCCTTGAATTTTATGAATTATTTTTCTTAGTTGACGGATCTTGATGATTTAGATTATTGTAAAACCTCTTCCTCCTCTTAGATTCTAAGAAGTGTTACAGAGCCCTTACTACTTTGCTAAAAATTTCAAGGGAAATGTAAAAACATAAGGTGAAATTTCTGCCATTCAAATCTTAAAAAAAAAATCTATATAGTAATCAGGACTACAAGACATGACCTAATTGGAATATGACATGAAGAGGGGAACAGAAAATCGGGTCTCAAGCATAGTAGGAGGTAGACACAGGTTGAGACAAAGAAAATAGAGGTTTAATAAGTAAAACAGTCTTGTTCATCCTTAACAGGTGAACTTAAAAACCTATCCTAAGCCATGGGAACAGGAGATGCATAGAGAGAGGTAAAGTTAGCTTGACCTGTAAAGAGCAGGGAGAGACCATCGGTTGGCAAAAGTATCTGCTAAAAGAAGCCGTATGAAATATTGGAAGAGTGGAGGTGGATCTAGATACTAAAGAGTTTTGTTTTCCAGATTGAGCAGTTTAGAATTAACCTCTTGAATAGTCTAAGAAACACTAAACATTTGGGGATCATTTTGCAGGTCAGCAGCCTGACAAGCATACTATAATGGAGGAGAGCAAGCTGCACAGTCCTATTTCTGGTTGTCTAAGAATAAGTTTGGTCCAATGGATTGGATGATGGTTGAGTCTCTGCTGTTCACTGAGCAGATGCTTACTCGTTGCCTCATTTGCACAATTTTCTAGTCACTTTGAGAGCTGTAGTCATGAAAACACAATGTTTGACCTCAGAAATTTTATAATGGGAGGGACAAGCCTGCAAACAACTATGATTAAGTCAAATTTTATAAGAGCATCAGAGAAGTTGGAAAAGGCCAAAATATATAAATGTTCAATAATAAGGAAATGCCAAATTCAGTCAAATTGTGTAATACTGAAGATACATCCATTTTCTAGGGCTGCCATAATAAAACACCACAGATTGATGACTTAAGCAACAGAAATTTATTGTGTGTTTTGGAAGGTAAAATTCTAAAATAGTGTCAGCAGGTTTGGTTTCTTCTGAGGCTCTGTTCTTTGGCTGTGGATGACTGTTTTCTCACGATGACTTGTTCCGGTCTTTCCTTTAACTTGTGCATCCCTGATGTTTCTTGTTATTCCTTTATTTTTTAATAAGGTAGCACTGGTTTATAATGTCATATATGTTTTAGAAAAAAAATGAAATCCAACCTCGCCAGGTGTTGTTACCACACCCACCACCATGGATCCTGCAGTCTTCCATCATAGTCCTCTGTGCCTCCTGCCCATTTTCCTTTGCAAACTCCCTGCCCACTCTGGTAGTCTGAGTTTTATAGACACACTTCTAGGGTTTGTTTTTGGGCTGGTGTTTTTGAGCTCTCTGTTTCTCTACTTTCCACATGGCAGTGACACCATTCAGTGTTTGTCTTTCTCCTCTAACTCATTTCACTGAGCATAATCCCTTCCAGTTCTATCAATGTTATGGAAAATGGCAAGAGTTCATTTTTTTATTGGGTAATATTCCATTGTGTGTGTGTGTATGTGTATTTACCAAATATTCTTGATCCACTCCTCTGTTCCTGGGCACTTTGGTTGTTTCCATAACTTGGTTATCGTAAATAGATCTCCAATGAACATAGGAGTGCATATATCCCTTTGATTAGTGGTTTGGCTTTCTTAGGCAGATAACTAGGGGTGGAATTGCTGAGGCATGTGACATATCTCTTTTTATTATTTTCAGAAACGTCCAAAATGTTTCCCATAGGGGCTGGACCAGTATGGGCTCCCACCTACTGTCCAAGGGTTCCTTTTTTCTCTCCACCCCTGCTGACAATTGTTCCTGGACTTTTGATATGGGACATTCTCAGAGGTGTGAGGTGGTATCTCATGGTTTTGATTTGCATTTCATTGATAAGTTATGATAAGAATTTTTTCAGGTGCCTCTTGGCTGGCATCTGTATGTCTTCTTTGGAGAAATATCTATTTAGCTCTTCTGCCCATTTTTTCATTGGGTAATTTGTTGAGTTGTATGAGTTCTTAGTAGATCTTGGCTATCAGCCCCTTGTCAGGTGTATGATGTGCAAATATTTCTCCCATTCAGTAGGGTGTCTTTTTGGTTTAATTATAGTTATGTTCACTGTGTACAAGCTTTTTTAGTTTGTTGCAGTCCCATTTGTTTACTTTTTCTTTTGTTTCCCTTGCTGAAGGAGTTGAGGTCCTAGATGCATCACTGAGGTCAATGTCATAGTGTTTTGCATACATTTTTTCTATGATTTTATGGTTTTAGGTCTTACATTTAATTCTTTAATCCATTTTGAGTCAAGTTTTGTATATGATGTGAAATGGTGTTTGGAAAACTGGAACACTTTGTTGAAGAGACTTTCTTTTCTATAATATACATACACTTAGCCCTTTGTTGTAAATTAACTCTATATAACTGTGTTTATTTTTGGGCTCTCTATTCTATTCCATTGGTCTGCATGTCCATTTTTGTTCCAATACTATACTGTGTTGATTCCAGTACTATACTACAACTGTGAAATAGTAGTGTAAGTTTGAAGTCTGGGAATGTGACACCACAATCCTTTCTCTTTTTTCTCAGGACTGCTTTGGTTATTTGGGTGGTTATATGGAACCTTGTGGTTCCATATAAATTTTAGTAATGTTTATTCTATGTCTTTGAAGAATGCCTTTGAAACTTTGATACAGATTGCATTGAATCTTTGTATTGCTTTGTGTTAAGACAGCCAGTTTAACAGTGTTAATTCTCCAAGTACATAAACGGGATATCTTTCCATTCCTTTTAGTGTTCTCTTTCTTTCAAAAATGTCTTATGTTTTTCATTGTATTGGTCCTTCACCTCATTTGTTTGGCATATTTCTGGGATGAGATAGTAATGGGGATTGTTTTCTTGATGTCTTTCTCATCTTTGTTCATTGTTTGCATATGGAACACAACTTATTTTTGTAGATTTATTTTGTAACCCGCCAATTTACTGATTTATAATGACAATTTTACTTAGATTGCATTTTTTATATCTTTCTCTTTCCTGACTGCTCTACCTAGTATTTCTAATACTATGTTAAAAAGTATTGATGAAAGAGGACATCCCGTTCACATACCAGATCTTAGAGGAAAAGCTTCCAGTTTTTCACTATTGAGTACGATATCACCTGTGAATTTGTCATATATGGCTTTTATTATGTTTCCATATGTCCCTTCTAACCCATTTTTGAGGCCCTTTATCATAAATGGATGTTAAATTTATCAAATGCTTTCTCTGCATCTATTGATATAATCACTTGATTTTTATCTTTCCTTTTGTTGATGTGGTGACTTACAGTGATTGATTTTCAGATGTTGAACTTTCCTTGAATCCCTGAATTTAATCTCACTTTCTAATGAATGATCCTTTTAATGCATTGTTGAATGCATTGTGTTGAGGATTTGCATCTGTATTCCTCAAGGCTATTGGTCTGCAAATTTTTTCTGATGTCCTTGCCATTTTTTTGGCATCACTGTAATGTTAGCCTCATAAAAATGTGTTTAGAAGTATTTTCTTTTCCTCAGCTTTTTGGAAGCATTGATAAGAAAAGGTATTAGTGTATCTTTGAAGGCCTCTGGTATTTCTATGTATGTTCAGATTTCCTCCTCTTAGCAAGTTACCAGTTAGATTGGATAAGAATTCACTCTAATGGCCTCATTTTAACTAAATAATTTCTTAAAGTCCTTATGTCTAAACAGTGACATTCTGAAATACTGGGTATTAGGATTTCAACATATGAATTTTAGGGGACACAGAGTTCATAATGGATGTATACATTTAACATGTCACTACTTTTAACAGCAGTCATAAAAAAGAGAATATGTAATTACATTTTTCATCATCATTGGAAGTCCATTATGAATGGAAGACTTGAAGCTGACCCTGTCATTGAACCAGGTTCTTAGAAAAGTATAAACATGGTTCACTGATAGATGGATTAGGAAAGGCTTCTTACTGGATAGTTATCTTTATAGTTGTGTAGTATAGTTTATGTTAACAAGTACAGCAAGAATCTTCAAGTTCTAACACCTCAAAGATTTCTTTCTTGCTCACACATCAGACATGAATTGAGTAATTTTTAAAGATTTATTTATGCATACAAGAACTGGGGTACAGGCCAGAGGTGTGGGGGGGGTAAGAGAATTCACCAGAGACAGAGTGGGGAGCAGCGGGCAAGACAGGAGAGGTCTGCTTCACCATGTGGGTTAGCTCCCTGGCTGGTCGGGGATCGATCTCGTGCTACAGAGGCTGCGGATTGCTTCACAGTGCTGTGCTTAACCCCTTGTGCCACCAGGGAGGAGGTATAAGTTGAGTAATTCTTTAGGGGAAAGAGCTAAACAAAGCCAGACACTATTTAGAATGGTAAGTGCAAACTAATCAGTAATATACAGTTGCAACAGGCAAGAGTCCAGCATGAAGCAGCATCAACTTTTATGTCTACGGACATTTTAAGGGTATCTAGGATCAACCTCAAGTTGCTATCTTGAGCTGT